GCCCGTGTGCGTTCGGGGGGTCGGTGCATGTACCTGTTCCGCAGGACGCGGGCGCGGGGCTGCGACGCGCGGGAGGGGAGGATGGCAGCGCACGGCCCTACGCGTGGTTTGGAGGGAATTGGCTCGTTTGCTTGTAAAACACGGACTTACTAGACTTGAAATACGTTTTCAAGGAACCTGGAAAGCTCAGGCAGCGAGGAATGTGGGCTTTACACGTACTATAGACTTTTTCCATTCAATCGCAAAAAGGCTGTTATGTTGGCGGGGGGCTCGATTCCCTCCCCACTTGTTTGCTAGAACCGTTTCTGTCGGGCTGCTTTGAAAAGAGGAGGATGTGGTGTTACGAACAAGCTGAAATGCATAAAGTAATATTCGAGGCGAACAATACTGGCAGTGCCAGTGAGAGCTTTCCAAAAGCTGTAACATTTTCCAGCTGCTCACTCTTAAAACATCAGGCTGGAGCTATAAAATGGCTAGCCACAGGTGGGTGAGGAGGAAGGGGGTTTCTGAGAAGGGGAGCGAGCCAGAACCACCCTAACCCAATTAGTCACAGGTAGGCAGTGTTTACTAGTAGTGGCTAGTAGAGCTGACCGTGTTGGCTACTAGCTTACAGAGGGGATTTGCAGTGCATTTGCAAGCAGATCCCTGAATTATGGATAGACAGTGATTCTAAATTTCCACATGCACACATGATCTCCCTTCCCTCCAGCTAAGAAAAGTGACTGGCCTTCGCTCTCGCGTGGCCCTGTGCATGGATAAATGAGTCACTTTTGGAGGAGCGAGGAGCAGCATGGATCTGGGTGCATGCTCTCAGTCTGGCAGCCCTTCGCCAGGGGTAGAACCACTTGCAGCTGGGAGTTGTGGTGCCCATCCCAGGGAAGCAAAGAGAGCCCTTGGTGAGGGGTCAGGGTAGAGGTGCTGGAGCTGCTCTGGGCGGGGAGCAAGGGGGATGAGCTGGGGTGTCGGAGGGAGGATGAGCGTGCTTGCACCTTGCTGCTTCACAGAGGGAGCTGTTGGAGGGGGAGGAGCCTGCTTGGGGTCTTTGAATGGGGGCATTGGGGGGCTTATGGCAGGCCTTGACATGCATAAGGGATGTACTTTGTCTTCACATGTTTGCCACTGGTGCTTGTCCCTGTTTCACCTGTCTCCCCACTGAGGGTAAGGCAGAGCCCTGCTGCTCTGTCCCCAGATGGTGACAATGGGGGGGGCTGGGGAGGGCAGTGCACACCCACCCCCCTGTGCATGCACAGATGCACTTGTGGATGCTCACTCCCTCAAAAAGGAGACACTGCAGTCCTTCCCCCCAAACCCTTCTGCTCCATCGTGACTGTCCCAGTCCCCTCCCTCGCCGCCACCTGCCGGAAGTCTCTCGGCACCCAGACCATCATCATGCCAAGCCTGTGAGAGCCGGGCTGAGGCCCTGCAGCTCGTTTCTCTGATGAGCCCTGAGGCTGCTCTCCGCATTGCACTGGTGATGCTGGGGGACACCGGCTGCTTCCCAGCCTGTGGCGAGGCAGCCAAGCTGCAGTGACCCCAGCTTGCATGGAGAAAGCCAGGTCCTCCCACCTCACTGAACACCTCCCTGCACCTGCAGTTCGCACCAGCCCATCTGCTCCATCCCGCTGACCCTCCATCTCCACCTCAGCTCTGCACTGTATGTCTGTGCCCTCCTCTCCTCCCGCTCTGCCATCTGCCATGTCCCTGTGCCTTTAATCCCTGCCTCACCGCACATTCATGCTGTCTCTGCCCCTGTGGACCAAGTCCATCTGCTCCTGACAGCAGTCCTGCCTTCAGCTGGAACAGCCTTGGCCTCCATCTGTCCCACCAGTGCTCACGCAGCCTTCCTCCCAGCCACCTCATCCCTAGTGCCTGCGTTTGCTGCTTGGCTCAGGAGAGGTCCTGTGCCTGGCACTGGCTGGTACCCTGCGGCACCCAGCTGCAGGCACAATGGCAGGAGGGAAGAGGCTCTGCTCCTTGTACCACCCATCTAAGGGATCTGAAGAGGTTTCCAGCCTCCAACCAGCGTGGGACCTGGGTCATATCCCTGCTGCCATGGTGGAGGGAGCCATGATGCTGCAGTCCTGCAGAGCAGCCAGCCTGCATCTCTTCTCTCCCCACTGACTGCAGCATCATGCTTGGTCTGAGTGTGACTACCCATAGCAAGGTCCGAAGGCTTTTGAGTGGGCCCTGGCACTGGCAGCACTCCAGGAGCTGCAGAAGATCAGACCACCTCTGCCAGACGCTGCTGGAGCTATTTCTGGGATGCTATTCCCATAACTGCTGTTGCTGGTGGAGTTCTGCTTGTCCCCCCAGCCTGTCTTGCTGCTCTGCGGCTGAGGCTCCAGGTGACCCCAGCACCGGTGACAATGTGACTGTGACAGCAGCAATTGTGCTCAGCACCCACAGACCTGCTTGTGGGGAGGCCCTCAACCCAGAGGAGAGATGCCTGGACCCACCCAGACTGAGGAAAAGGCTCCTCATTGCTGGGGAGTGGCACCCTGGCACCCAGAGGGCAGCTAGTGGGGCTGGGCAGCACTGGCTCCCGTGGAGGCTCTCGGAGCTGGTTGGGTGACAGCCGGGGTGCCTGGGGACACCAGGAGCAGGAGCCACCTCGCCCAGCCTGGCCGGACCCGCAGCGCCTGCCTGCCCCTTGCCTTGCGCCCAGCAACAGGATGGGCACTGGGGGATTTCGCTCCATCCCTGCTCCCTGCCGTCCCCAGTGGGTGGGGTGGGTGATGCCCCCTCCCCAACAGCTGCATGAGCTGGGGGGGGGTCCCCCAAGACCTCGCTGGCAGGGCAGGCAGACTGGCCTGGGGACTGGTTGAATAGCTGGGGTGCTGCTACCTGCCGGGGCAGGGGGTGACGGCGTCTCCCTGTGCTTCCCCCTAGGAGCTACTGTGCCTACGTGGTGCAGCGCAACGTGACGTGCACGCTGCAGGACGGGGCCGAGAGCTACGTCAAGGCCGAGTACCACAAGTGCAGCTGGGGACCCAAGTGCCCGGGGAAAGTGCTGTGAGTACGGGGGATGCTCCCTTCCCCTCCCAGCTTCAGGCCACAGCTCTCCTTGGGTCCCAAGCTCCCATGCCACCATTCTGACTGTGAACCCACACTTTTCAGAGGGCGGTGTAAAGGCCTGAAGGGCTTTTCCTGGATGAGGCAGTCAACAGCAGGGCAGAGGTGCTGGGAGGGGGCAAGATGGGATCTGTCAGGAGGGAGAGGGAGCTCTATCCCTCATATTCTTGAAATAAATCAAGAAATCTTGGGAAGCCGGGGGGTGGGGTGCATGTGCATGTGTGCAGGGAAGCATTTTGTCACAGACCTGCAATTTGGCAGAAAGATGGCAGCTAGGTGAGAGCCTGACCCAGAGGAGGAGGAAATGGAGCCCGTGGCTGGGGATGGCTCAGGGCTTCCTGCCCCAGGATAATATTTGCAAAACTCTCTGCCACCTCATCAGTGCTGGAGGGAAACACCCCGCTGTGCTGCAGCGGGGCAGGGTGGACACTGAGGCTTTGTGCTTCGCCACCCTCCGCAGCCCCTGGCCGGGTACACTGCTCCACGCAGAAATGTTGCTCTCCTGCATCCTCCTTGGGCCTGCCGAGAGCAGCAGGGCTGAGCACCAAGGAAAACCGGGCTGAGTGGGGCTTTTGTTGGAGCCTGGCACCCCTCCTGCGGCACCAGCACACGGTGCTGCAGCCATCTGGGACTCACCATGTGCCGATGGTGCTATGGGCTCTGCACGCAGCCTCTCCTGGCAAAGATGGGCCATTGGACCCACTCGCTGACTTCTTCTTTCCTTGCTCCCATCACAAGTGCTTTAGCAGTATTTGGGGACTTCATGACATCCTGCAGCCACTGGAACCTGTGGAGGAGATCCCCAAAGCCATCTCTGTGGTGTCCGCTGCTTGGCCTCTCCAGCCCTTTGAACACAACCGGGGTGAAACCAGGGTGGTTTCTGAAAGCAGCTGGACCCACAGCTGAACTTTCTGCACAGCCTTGAATGCTGCATCCACGCATGAGACGGAAACATGGTTTTTCCACGTGCTGGGGCCATCAGCTAATGTTCGTGCAGCTGCAAAAAGCTCTTCCCCTTGCTGCCGTTTGGAGCAGGGGGTGAAGGTTTTGGAGGTGCCAAAGGGCTCTGGGCTCCTGTGCAGAGGCTGGCACGACACAGAGAAGGTGCCCTGCCTTCTGAATGCCATCCTCATCCTCGCTTAACCCCGGACAGTGGCTGGGTGTAGCAGTCCTCTGCTGTGGTACGTCCATGCAGGTTTCTACCCAGTAAGACAGAAGGAAAGACCATTGAAACTCAGCAGCGTCTCTGAAGAGGAATAACAAAAAGAAGAGCTTGTTTTGAAACTGTCCTGTGCCTTCGGGAAATTGTTGATGTTGTGAAATTTTGACATGACTCAGAGAACAGAGGATTTGGGTTTGCTTTCCCCTCCTGCCCTGCGGTACATACGGAGGTGGCTGTATCGCACTGGGAGTTGTGTGGAAGTGACATTGCCCGGGGGCTGCAGCCTGGGCTGGGGGCACTGAGGACCCGGGCAGGGATAGGGAGGACTGGGGCTCAGCCTCATGTGCTGCCCTGAGCAACTGGGTAAGCACGAGTGCCTTACGCAGCCCCTCTGTGCAGCACAGGTCCTTGTGCCGCCTCCATCGGGACCTTCTGCTGAACGTGCTGGAGAAGAACAAGGGCCCGATTGTGTGTGTTGTTGAAAACAGCAAACTTCAGGATTTTCAGGCCCTGGTAAATTCAGCCTGGAAATTTCCAAAAGGCAGGTTCAAAGCATTGGCGTTTCAAAGGTGGTAAGAAACGCCCTGTCTTCAGCCCCGCGTGGCTCGGCTTGGCTGGCGGGGGGAGCACTCGTGGGGTCCCTGTCCCAGCCCTGCCACCTTATGGGAACGTGCCATGGAAGAGCAGGGAGTAGCTGAGTCCTCCCTGCTGGTCTGGTGGGGACCCCACATAGAGCAAGAGCAGAGAGGGAGAGTGTTAGTGTCCCACTGGGCAAGGAGGTGGGCTCACATTCTTGCTTGCTGTCTGTGCGGGGAGATCAATGTTGTAATGCCCAAATTGGTGATGGAGAAACCTCCCAGGGCTTCCCAGCTGGGGGCAGGAGGAGGTGTAAGGAGCCATCCCTCGGTGCACACCACATGGCCTTGCCCTGGTAAAGCTCACCAGGGCTCTGCTGCTCCACTGCCAAAGCTCTTGCTTGCAAGGCCAGCCCAAGCCATTTAGGCTTGCCATCAAACTGCTGCCCTCCGCGCGTAGAGAAATACATTTCCAAAGGTATTTCAACTGTCTTGGAGGCTTCAGGACAGGATTACAGTTGAGAAGAGGATTTTTTTGCCCCACCTAGGTCAATTCAAAGTGCAAAACATACCCACAAGCAGCCCAGACCCCTCTTGGAAGTGGCCTGAGCTTGCACGGGTTTTGGAATCACTTCCAACAGTTCATCTTGTGGTCTCCTGGGCCAAAAGTTGCCATACCGTGTGGCATGTGTCACAGTGGTCATCTATCGGGCCATAGACCAAAGCAATACACTTACAGCTGCTTGTCTAAACCAACAATGGGAGTCCCAGGCTAAAAAAAAAAAAAAATCCAACAAAAAAAACCTTTCCAGAAACCACAGATACATAAATAATGGTTCTGCTCAGATAGTCCCTCCTCACCACCAGGCTGTTTCTCAGGCTTGTCTACTTGTGTTACCAACTTGGGGAGAACTCTTTTCTCACCATGTGCTCTCACATCTGCACCTCGTGGTCCAGTCCTGGAGGGGGTGGGCACATATTTTTGAAGTGCTGGTTAATGAGCTGTGTCCTTGGAGTGGCACTGTAATGCTGCACTGAGCTGTGTGCAGCAAGAGCTCTTGGGGGATGTGGGTCATGGTCTGCAGGTGCAGCACCTGGGTCTCAGCCAGGCTTTCCCCTGTGCCTGGATTTCCCACACCCAACAGGACCCATGACCCCGCTCTTCTCTGTTGCTTGACATTGATGTTGCTTCTCTCTTCCTCCTCTCTCCTGGAAAGGTACCGCACGTTCTTCAGACCCAAATACAAGATTGGATACAAGACAGTGACCGAGCTGGCCTGGAGGTGCTGCCCAGGCTTCATGGGAGAAGGGTGCCACGACAGCCCGACTGACCAACCCGGCCTTCTGCCCCAACATCCCAGCCCTAAAATGCCTCCTGGACAAAAGATGTTTCCAATTCCCAGACTTCCTCCCTATCCAAAAAGCCACCCTGACCTGTTTCCAGGACCAAAGAAGAATCAGTATGGTGAGATCTCACTCCTGCTTCACATCCACAGGGTACCACACCACGAGCATGTTCCCAAACCTTCCAGTTCTTTCTATTCCAGCACAAGACATGAATTCGGCCAACCTCCAGTGGGTGACATGCTTTCTGATCAGAGACCTGACATTTGATTGCTTTGAGGATCACTTGGGTTTTCGGTCTAGTTTCTTTCAAAACGTGCTGCTCCAAGATTGCCTTTCCTCATTGTTTTAAAGCATTTTTCCATTAGTTTTGGGGTCGATAGAGTGTATCTCAAGATGAAGCTCCCCAGGGCTGTTCTCATCACCGGCTGTTGAACTTGGGAGCAGAGGCCTTGATCCCAAGAAGAAAGAAAGAGGGTTTCCTGATCAGCTTAAGAAGAGATGTAGAGGAAAGGAGGAAGGGTGGGCTGATTCTTTGCTGAAATGACAGTAAGAGGGAGGCAGGAGCTAATGTTAGTTAGTATGGCGAAGGACTCAAATCTAGAAGATAGCCAAGGAGAGAGGTTAAAGGAGCACCAGCCCTGACTGTGCCCTCTCTATTTCTTTCCCTGTGCAGGCAGGAAGATGCCTGGCCTCTTTGGGGACCGCCTGGATCGGCTGGAGGAGGAGGTGAGGCGCCTTTCACAGTCCTACGACAGCCTGCACAGCATGGTGAGCGGCCTGGGGGACCGCCTGCGGCTGGCCATCCAAGAGGACACCACCAAGATGATCGGCTCCCTGATGAACAGCCCAGGCACGCCTGACTCGACGGTGGGCTTCGGCATCATTCCTGATGGTCTGGTGGATGTGGCGGACAAAGCCGACATCGCCACGTACCCTCCTGTGGGGGAGATCCTGACCAAAGTGACAGAAGTGAGCGACGTGCTGAAAACCAAGGCAGATTTGCTGCACGAGGTTCGTGGCATGGTCCTGGACCACGACGGGCAGATCAAGCATCTTCTGGAGTCAGCCCGGCCCTCGCCCCTCACCTCCATCGACCTGCTGGAGGAGTACGTGGACACGCGGCTGAGCAACCTGCGCGGAGAGCTGCTCGACGGCTTCGAGAAGAAGCTGGGGAAGATCCAGACCATGTGCGATTTCCGGATCCAAGAGGTGCGGCAGCAGTGTGAGGAGGAGAAAGCTGCCAACCTGCGGCTGCAGCAGACACTGGACGGGAAGGAGCTAGAGATCAAGAAAGAGATCTCCCAGCTGGAGACCCAGATCCAAGGGCTGACGGTGGTGGAAAGCTGCTGCAGCAACCTGGACTACCTCACTGATCGCATGAACATCCTCGAGAAAGGCCTTCACAGCATCTCTGAGTCCCAGAAGAACTTGCACTCACGGCTGGATGGAGAAATCTCCACTGTCACCCTAGGGAATCTGTTTGAAGGGCGATTTGAGGACCTGGAAGCAAGACTCAATGCTACAGAGAGAGAAACAGGGAGCTGCTGCTCCAGTATAGAGGACAGCATGAGAGGCACGGTGGTAGCAGAGGTGGATGGCATGAGGACTGCCTTTGAAGATAAAATGCAGACCCTGGAGGACAGGTTCATGACCATTGTGGGGGAGCTGAACAATGTCAGTTCTCCCGTGGGCATGGATGGAGCGGTGGTGCCCATGCTGGAGGGGGAGCTTGCTAGCATGAGGAAACGGACGGACAAGACATTGGAGGGGTTGCAGAATCGCCTCATCACGCTGGAGAGCACTTGTTCCCTGGGGTGCACCTCTGCCTCCAAAGACGTGGAGACCTTCCGGACAGAGATCGAAGACTGCCAGAACAAGAACCAGGACCTGCTCCTCCGGATGGACAGCAACTACGACCTCCTGCGCAAGCTGAATGCCACCATCCTGGAGATTCAGCGGCGAATTGAGGAGGAAGCATCGGGGGCTTTGCAAGGGGAGATCACTTTGCTAAAGATCAACCTGAACACTGTGAGCAAGTCTCTGACGGGGCTCAAGGACTCTGTCTCCCAGTACTCGGACACCATGACACATGTCAACAACTCGCTGGATGAGCACGAGCGGAAGATTGAGGATGAGGTCCACTCCATCCAGGAGAAAGTCAATGACCAGGGCTCCCAGCTGTTTTTCAGCAACCGGCGTGTCCTGAACCTCAAGGGAGACTTGGAGCGACTCAAAGCCAGGATCGTCAGCGACCTGAGCTCCTGCAAGAGCGTGGCTCACGACCTGCAGCAGGAAATCGCTCACTTTGATGACCGGGTGGCCCGGGTGGAGAGTGTCTGTGGCAGGTTGGGGGCTGTCACAGGAAGCCTGGACGGTATCAGGGACGAACTGGAGAAACACACGGGCAGTCTGTGGGACTACATGGACCACATGAACGGGACCCTGGCTGCCCACTCTCAGGAAATAACGGGACTGAAGGACAACCTGCTTGACTGCCAAGCCAAGGTCTCCGAGCTGGCGGAGCAGGTCGGACACTTGGAAGAGCAGGCAGAGGGGAAGCAGCATTAGCCATGCCGCCATGCACTTCTTCCTTCTCCTCCCCATGAAGGACAGGATTAACTTATATCACACAGACTGGCTCCAATGTGACAACAGTTCTTGGGATAATTGTTTTAATGAAAAGATAAATTAAAAGCTGCTACAAACCCTTTTTTTTTTTTTTTTTTTTTTTTTGTTAAATCTTGTTGGCCCCATTTTTCCATAACTGTGCCATTATGGTACTCGCCTCCTGATGCTCAGCAGCTGTCCTGACCCTGGTGCAGCAGGGTCACTGCCTCCTGGCTGGGGGCGTTGCTTTGGCTCCTGGGCTGATGACCGCAGAAGGACAACTCAGGAGGAAGCTGGAGGCGGGGATTTTTTTTTTTTTTAAATTTTTGGATTTATTGCTTCTTGAAGAATAAAACCCTGTAGTTATCAGCTGAGGAATAGAGTTTCTCTGACCTAAAGACCACCTGCATCTTAATCCAGGGACTGAGCAGATCCAGGGCGCCTCACGGGGAACAAAACTCACCACAGGAATTGTGGATTTCAAAGAACACACGTACTCTCACATCCCCCTGGGAACTACCTTCCCCTCTCCGAGATGGCAGCCCTCCTCATGTATGGTAAATCCATTTATACAGCTCACGCCTTCGTGCAAACGCACATGCCTTACAAAGCATATGAGGACATGCATTAGGAAAACGCACATATACATATATATATGGTATGTGGATGTATATTTTTGAACAATCCACTGTCATGGTGCTTATCTGATTGCAGAGCTTCCTCTTGCTGCCCCCTGTCCCTCGCCCTGTTTCAAAGAACCACACTGAGCAGCTAAAAACCCCCATGGCAGCATTTGGGGAAGCACCCCATACTCTCAGGGCTGCTGTGCTTTGCAATCCCACTGTGCTGTGCTCTCTGGTTACACCCGGGACTGACACGAAGGGTTGTGGAAAACTTGTGTCTTCCCCAAAGAGATGCGTGTCCGTAGGTCTCTGCAGAGACCGAGGTGGGCATGGAGCAGTCCTGTCCTCCAGCTCTGGTTCTCTCCTGTTTTATTGCTTAAACTGTGAACGTGGTTTCTCTCATCTCATCTCATCCTGGGGCAGGAGAGCTGCAGCTGCTCCGCGGCGAGAGTGTGAGGCTTTCCCTGTGCAGCAGCATGGGAGAAGGAGCCCACATCCTCCTCACGTTCCTCTGAACCCACTGGGATGCCGACAGCCCTGGGCACTTGCACCAATGCGGAGCACCCTTGAGAAGACCTTTTGAGATCTCTCCTCATCTCAGCCTGGGAATGAAAAGATTATCTACCCAACTTCACTCGAGTTTCCCAGGAACTCGGGGGCTGGAGAAGGTTGTACGTGTTCCTCAGCAAATCCAGCCTTGCCCTGCGGAGCAGGTGCCTGGACTGTGTGGCTGTTGCCCACAGAAACCGCCTCTCCTGGGGAGCCCAGCATGGGCGTCCTCTACTGCTCAGCCAACAGGGACTTCATTACCAGAAAGGATGAAGAGGAAATTAAAGAGCCTCCATCTGACCAGCTCTGGCACTTTATAACAGAGGAACTTATTTTTCTATTGGTGCAGCATTGCAGCTCCCAGACCCTTCCACACCAGATAGCCTTCAGCTCCCACCTCGTGCCCATCACCCCCATCAGGTCATCCCTGCTCTTCTGCATCACCATTCCTCCCCTGGTATCTCCCACCCCGCAAAGGAGCAGCTCTGTGCTCTGACCAGCACAAAGCAGCAGCAACTCCCAGCAGAGATGCATCTGGGTGCCTTTTCTCCTCCATTCCCTCCCATAAAAACCTGGATGAACTCCCTGAAACAGATGCTTCCAGGCTGGGGAGGACCACAGGGATCAGCAAGTCCGGTTGGCTGCATCATGTTACCCTGATGCAGTACAAGCTCTTTCCCCTGCCAGGGAAGCGTGGGCCATCACCTGTACGAGCAGGGAGAGGGGACCAGGTTTCCCACTGCTCGGCCCCTCTGGCTGTGGGATACTCACAGCACCAGAATCCACTCTTGCTGCACTGGGCTTCGCTGATTTGGAGCTACGCTGCTGCTGCCAAGACACTTCTCCAGTGGAGGAGCAACCTCCAGCTGCCTTTGGGCATCCTGCAAAACCTGCTCTTTGACAACAAAACCTTTTTTTTTTTTTCTCCCAGCCTGTGGAAGGAGTCTCAAGCCAGCCCTCACCCCACAGGAGCATCCTGCCCGAGCCCCCTCCCCATCCTCTCACAACAGGGAGAAAAAGGGCTGCAGCAACCAAAGAGAAAATTAAGCCAAGGGCCAGGCTCACCCCTTCCCAGGTCCGGGCTGGGTTAGAGAGCAGCTGACCAGCAACAGCTTCCTCCAGCACAGAGGGAGCCGGGACTGGCCATAACAAAACTAGGACAAGGAAGAAGTCTGACCTTCCAGAAATGGTGCTATGTTTGGACTATTCCTGACCAGTCACTTGAAGCTATGGACAGTTTGTATTGCAGTTCTCAGCTATTCATGTTTAAAAAGTGAAAGGAACTTTGTACAAAATAGGGCATTTTATTTTATTTCCTTTTTTGCTTGCAGAGTGGGAAGGAGATAGGGCCTGTGGGGTTGTCCTTGCACAGGCAGCTTTCTGAGACAGTTGATAACTGATCCTGTTAAAAGGCTGTGTTTTATTGTTTTTAAAACCTTGTACATTTGTTCAGATTTTAAAAGCTGAAAAAGTGTTTGTACTGGAAGGAAAAAAATAAAAGTATTTCTTGCTGAGGTTTCCAGGATCAAAATGACTTGTGTGGCTTTCAGAAAAGCAGAGCTGGAGTTAAGGCATAGAGGCAGGCAGACTGGGAGATGATTTACAGTCACACACAGTGGTCAGGGAAGGAGAAGGTGGATGCCAGACTGGAGGAAGGAGCCCAGCACCGCTCCTGCCTGTTTTATTTTATGTAGTTACAGCCGAGAGCTCGCAGAGCAGGGGCAGCAGGCTGGCTGAACACGCAGCAGCGCTGGCAACCAGGTTCCAGAGAAGTCCCCTACCCAGCATGGGGACAGGCTGCTTGAGTCCCAGCCCAACCCTGCTCCAGGACAGCTGAGCTTTCCTTGAACGCTCCCACCCAGGGGCACAGGAATAAGCTCCTGCCCTGGCACAAGACTGTGGTAAGCTACCAGCATGGGAGAGGTTCACCTCCACACACACACAAAGCCAGGGTTTGTTTCCTGTATTACATCAATTTTGCAACATTACCTGAATAAAAAAAGATCCTTTTCTAGTGCAGCTGCTCCACAGGCTGATGAAACTATAGGTCCTGCCTCCATCTCCACTAAGACCAGACCCCTGTGGCAGGGCACTTCAGCAAGATAAACCCAACCACTTTTGTAAGAGGACACAGAGCCTGGCTCCCACTTCCATGCACGGGGCTACAGCAGAAAAGAGGCAGCCTCGATTAAGGCACTATTTATTAATTGTTGCTGTTATCGAAGAACACTTAAAACCCCAACAGCTTCTCTCCATCTTAACAAGTTGTTAAGCTACAGGCCAGCTTCACTCCATCAGCTACCAAACTGCAGGTAGCTGGACTGTTCAAGAACACCAGTCAAACTGGAGGTAGCAATAGCTATGCCAGAGGCTCATCAATAAATAAGACCGTGACCCACCACCACCTTTAAAAAACAGCCAGGCTTTAAAGGTATTAAGAACATTAAGAAGAGACCAAACTTCCAGGAATTTTAGTTTAGTAAACACAGGTTTTGTAGAGTTAGAGGTCCCTCTTACCCCCCGTTGACCCCCAGAGAAGGGGTGTTTCTTTCTAGTGTAGAACATGACCCGTATTAGAAGTGCAAAATGCCTGAGCGTGCAAACAGGGAGGAGGAGATACATCTGGAGTAGCCAGTCCTGGCAGGACACACAGGAGAGCCCTGGGTCAGGTCTCCACATGTAATGGGGTCAGGAGAAGGCATCCAAGTCAACAGCGGGCAGTGGAGGTCTCCAGTAGGCAAAGTGGCTGTACTCGGGACACACCAGAGCAACGCTCCCCCTCTGTCCCAGGGGAGGGAAGATGAGCTCCACCAGCTCCGACAGCCGCTCGTACCTATGGAGAAAGAATTTGCACTGGGGTCATTGGGGCTTTGTTTGCTTTTCAACCCCATGAGATGCTTCTCTGGGTTAAAGCAAGGTTAACCCAAAGATGCTGAAGAACAAGCGCATCGCTTACGTTGACTTGTGGTTCTTCGTGAGCTCCTGGATCAGCTCTCCCTTGGGGTTGACCGTGAATATGCGGCTCTCCGGCAGGCCCACCTGCTTGTAAGCGTAGACATCCTGCCCAAGGAAGGCCAGCAAGCCATGAGAGCTGCAGGAAGGCATCACCACCACCTCAACATGAGCCCTCCCTCCTCCCCAGGACACCCGCTCACGTTGGCTCTGTTCCCAAAGGCTGCGTAGAAAGGCGGATTTGTGGCAAACAGGTTTTGGATGTCCATCAAGCAGGCAATCTTGAACACCTCTGGCTTCTTCTCAATCACCTCCCTGCAGCACAAGACATATGCACAGATCAGAGGTCAGAGTGGCATCAGCTGTCCAGGACTGTGGGCAGCCAGGCTGTCCTGGGCTCAAAGAAGTGATTTGAAGGACAAGAGAGGTTTTGTGCCTCAGGAGCTTCACTACGGAGCTCCAGGGAGGGCAGGCAGTTCCCTTGCTGCCTCCCATGAAAGGCATCCTGCACCAAGGAGGCCAGAAGCAGTTTCAGGCTGTGACATCCCTCAACATCAAGCTGGGGAAGGGGGGTGCCATTCCCAGGGACAGAGGAGGTGCAGGGCTGGGGAGGAGGAGAGGATGCAGTACCTGTGGAAGGCAGAGAACAGGCTGCTGGGGGCAAGCAGGATGGGGCCCCTAGGGAGGCAACAGCCTTGCTCGTTGACCCATTTGAGGTAGGCTTTGGTGATGTGTGCCATGCCAATCGCTCTGGCTGAGCAGTAAAGGAACTTGTAGCCATTCCTAGAGAGAGCACAGGGAAGACCTCTGAGCTGTGCTCTAGACAAGGTGTCCTCCCACTCCTGCTCCAACGTGGAGGAGGAAGAGGGAAGATGAGGCTCAACACCTGGCCTAAGCCCAAACCCTGTTCACCCCTTCAGCAAGCAAGGTGGCTTCACAAACGTGACTCACTCACCCTGAGACCCAGACTGAGACAGATCCCCACCTGCCTCACTGCTGGGAAGCCTGGGAACCAGCGCTGGAGGGGGACACTGTATCACCCTCCGGGCCCTTCCCAGCAGCTGCACGCCCACCCGGGCTGCCCGTCGCTGCTTGGCACCCAGACAGGACCCCCAGGCCAGCACCTTTATCACACCGGGTTGCCTGCGGCTTGGGGGGTGCCGGACACGGCCCCTGCCGGCCCCCAGGCAGGCAGCACGGGTGGGGGGCAGCGCGGGCAGAGGGGGCACGGTGCTCTTGCGGGATGGGGGGCGGCAGGAGGCAGCCGAGGTGGCAGCGAGGGCGGCCCCAGCCCCGCAGCAGCACACCCGCAGG